TTCCAAAATTGGCAGGCAGCACAGCAGGCTAAGATTTGGTCAAATGTAGGGTCCAGATGTGCCAAAACTAGAGACTTTTCTCAAAGCATATCCATATATATTGGAAGCAGGCCAAACCCTGAAGGCCACTTCTTAGCTGCTAACAGCAGATTCCACCATGGAGATAATTACAAGATTGTAATTATCATGGGGAATAACTACTTGCAGCTGCCCACACAATCAAAACCACAGCCCAGCCAAGTTGACACACAACCTTAACTACCAGAGAAGATAAGGACATTATCCAAAATCACTTGTCTGGTAATGTCAAAGCTGGGATGAAAAGTACATTTATCAGAACCAGCCTTTGAGAGTGGTAGTTACAGTAGTCTCAGCAGGAAGTCAAATCTGGTGAAAAAGGACTTTCTGGAAAACAAATTCATTTCAGATCACCTCAAAACTTTGATATGATAAAGAAATTAGAAGATAGACCACAACGGGATGTGCTACTCCTGAAATTTCTGAAGTCAAGGAGAAAATTGTGTCCTTATGCATTTGGGTTTATGTCCCATGAAACCAGGGGTTTATGCCATGTCTGGATAAAAAAAAAAAACACCTGGCTCATTTTTACTCTTTAAAACTAAAAATGTCACCTCTAGTACCTGTCATTGATAGTAAGTAACACTCATTTCAAAAGCACATCTTTTTCCTCAGCACAACCTATCTACTGTAACTTCTGTAGAGTGAAAGTCAAAGTATAACCCAAATTATAACCCTGAAATTACTACAGAAAAAATACCAGTCATGCTAAAATGAAACTGGATATTTTTCACTTGTTATTATTATAGAATACATGTATAGAATATAAAAATAATAATTTGCACTCATCCAGCTTCTTTTGCTCCAATGTCTCAAATCCCTGAGTATAAGTGGTCTCATTAAGTTTATCAAACCAATTTAAGTCTAACATGTTCCTGAACCTTTTTCCAAATCCATTGAGGTTTTCCTGTCACAAATGCTGAGCATTTTCATTTGAAATTCTGAGCATTCTATAGATATAAATTTGACCTTCTACAGATAAAACTCACTTATTAATCATCTAGTTATGTACTATAATATTACAAAATTACCTAAGAAGAGAATAAGTACTATTGTAGATTTAATTAACCACACACACACGTCTACAGCCATTCCCACATACAACTGAGTTTTTGTGTAACTGGGTTAATTAGGATAAGGAATGGTTTGGTTATGAGAACAGTTAGAAAAATGAGAAGAAATGTTTTATCTTGATCTATGCAAACAAAATCCATTGATTTCTAAAACTCCATTCATTTAATCAGCAAATAATATTTAAATATGGAGTAGCCCTTAGAGTCTAAGAACTATGAAGCATACAAAGGTAAGTTACCTATAGAAAGTAAACAAATGCTCAAATAATTTCCCTATAGAGTGGCATATGGTGAGTTTTCTGAAGACTGAGACAATGTATATATTGTTTAGCTCTGTATGTTCAGTGACTAATATTGAAACTGGCACACACTAGATAAAAAAAATGTGTTTGATGAATAAATAATGAAAGAATAATTATTTTAAGTGATCTAGAAATTCAGAGAAAGGAAAGAATATGTCTGTCTGGCTTGTCCAGGAAGGCATTGTAGAGGGCCCAGTGTTTGATTTGAGTCTTAAGGGATAAAGTGATGGTTCTAAGGGAGACAATAACATGCCAGGCAGAGGTCATTGTATAAACACAAGATACAAAGGCAGGAAAGTGCAAGGCAGTCTTTAAGAATAGCAGATAATTCAGTTTGGCAGTTCAGCCGAGGGAACCTATCCAAAAAACAAACCAAATTTACTGCCATCAAGTTGATTTGATGACTCATTGTCATCAAATGAGGAGGAAAATCCCATTGGTTTGCCAAGGCTGTAAATCTTTAGGGAAGTGGACTATCTCATCTTTCTTTCTTAGAGAGGCTAATGGATTCAAACCACCAATGTTCTGGTTAGCAGCCAAATGCCTTAACCACACACAACCAGAGCTCTTAGGGAATCTATGTTGTTGTTGTTATTTGCCATCAAGTTGGCCCCGACTCATAGCGACCCCTCCTTGGGTTTCCGAGGCAGTATCACTACAGAAGTAGGATTGCCCAACCTTCCTTCCGAGGAGTCTAGAAGAACCAGCAAATAAGGCTGAATGGTTAAGTTGAAACAAGACTGCCAATGAGTCATCATCTTGGGCCCTGATTTTGAAGCCAAAATTGGAAGTCTTCACAATTAGGTTTTGATTATATTACCAGGTACTCTATAAAAAACTGCCCCAAAAGGAAGGTGAAAACTCCAGCATTCCTAGAAAAGAAGTTGAGGACTGAAGAGATGAGAAAGACATGCCTAAAAATGATTAATGTTGGAGAATTCCACCAGTTTGAAGTCAGCTATCAGACACCTGTAATATTTAACATGGTATTTTGAACACAGACTATTTTAGTTCTAGTCTTCAAAGATCTAAACTAATACACAAATTTTGAAAGATGACTAGGAATCCAAGAGAGAATAGATATTTCAGAAGTTTCTAATGTACCATAAAATACAGTCTCTCACTGGTAAGAGACTGTTTCTTAAAGCAAAGTGGCACAGAGTGGAGGTGCCTGAATACACAGACTTATTCCATTCATTCATTGCAAATACAAATGACCATGAACTATAGGGAAATAAAAGTACAATGTATGTCTTGAGGAACTTACAATGAAACAGGGGGGAAAATATACTCATTTTATTCTAGAAAGTTTATGTTAATTTAATTTTAGCTTCTTAGTTACCTTCTGAAGTTAATATTATTATTTCCATTTTACAGTTGAAAAAAATTAAGATTAAAAGATTGAAATATCTTGCCTAAGCTAATAAAATAACAGAGCTGGGATCCAAACACAGATTTTTCTAATCCTATCATATATCCTTATGGTCACGTTTAGAATATGGAAAACACTATCATGTATTAGCTAAAAGGAGGATCTCTAGCATAAAACTAGGAGCTCTGGTAGCATAGTGGCTAAGGCACTTGACTGCTAACCAGAAGGCTGGCGGTTCAAACCCACCAGCCACTCCTCGGAAGGAAGATGGGGCAATCTACTTCCGCAGTGATACTGCCTCAGAAACCCAAGGAGGGGTCGCTATGAGTCAGGTCTGACTCGATGGCACATAACAACAACAACAACTAGCATAAAACTAGGTTCTAGATCTTGGCTCCACCTCTTGTTACTATGGGTCCCTGCACCAGTTACAAACATTTTTGTGCCTCAGTTTTTTCAATTGTAAAGAAGAGAGAATTAACATTAGAATAACAACCCTTATCTCAGTGGATTCCATTTCTGGAGCTTAAATTCCACTTAAATCTGAGATTTAAATGAGATAATAACATGAAAAGTGCTTAGGAAAATGGCAAGTCCAAAGACAATGCTCATTAAAGTTAACTATTATTAGTATCGAAGCTTTATTACAAAGTAAAAATTCAAAAAATTCAATGCATAGTTTCTTGCTCTGAATAAATGTTCCAATGTCTTCCCTCAGTTAAAAATAATCCTTGGAAAATATTATGCAAGAGTTTATTTCACACATACAAAATATGCAACACTGAAATGGACAAAACTCACAAAAGCTGCATTGCTTTTGGACAGATAACTATAGCTATACTTATTTTCCTGACATTAATAAATTTGACTGATTAGCACTTTTGCTATCTGTTTCCTTCCTGTCAGTATAAACTCACAGATAAGATGATACATTTCTGAAATTTAAAAACTTACCCACGAATGTGGGAGATCCATATCTGTGCAAGAAGACTTTAGAAGTGTGTGGTGAGTACAGCAAGAGCAGTTTCCCCAGGGTCCACTTGGGGAAATTTTGAAATCAACACGTGTCCAGAGTCGGTTTTCTGAAAAAGACTTCCAGCTGTTCCGCATATAACTTTCACCTTCATAATGGGATAACATATCTTCCAAGTCACACCTATTTAAAATGCTGGATCTATCCAGTGATGTAGAAATGGAATCCAATCTAATCTTCTCTGTTCCAACCGTCTTCCTTGTGCTAACTTTACAAACCTTCTTTTCTTGGGATTTGGTTAATTTCATACAGGAAATCAATGTGTCATCTTCATCTTCTGAATGATAAAGATAAATAAGGTTTAAAATTAACTCTTTCTAATAATTATGCATATGGGGAGATTATGAATATTCTACTTCCATTCCTATGATAGACATGAATAAAACTACAGATAAACCAGGAAGTCATACAATGTCACACACACACACAATCTGTGATAGTATTTCTTTAAAAAGTAAGTTATTTCATTATAATAAATGATTTCTTGTAAATATCAGATTTATCTTAAACTTTCTACAACCCTGCTTATTAAAGTTAGTTAGATTCAGAGCATTTGCAGATATCTGTAAATATGGTACTCTACTATAAAGCCATCTATAGGAGATTGAAAGAGTAACATTTACTGTGAAGCAAAGATGAGAAGACAAGGAGGCAAGGCACTGCAAATGGAAAAACCAGAAGGTGATTAATACAATGTTAACACATTGTAAAAATGTAACTAATGTAACTGGATAATTTGTAAAGAATTGTCAAATGTGAATTCAATTTGCTATGTAACCTTATACCAAAAACACAATAAAATATTATTTAAAAAATAAATAAAATCACTTGGACTATAACTAAAAAAGCTACATGCAAAGAGTATGCTAGAAGATGCTTGAGAAAAGCATTAAAATAATTTTTAATGAATTTTTCGTGAGAAAAGCAATTAAAATTAATTTCCATATCTTGTAAACATAATAAGGTGTGCTTGTATTCTGAACTATTAAATTTTAGTGATAGCCATTTGCACATGGGAATATCATAAAGAATCAAAAGAAAATCTTTGCCTATATAGATTGGAATTCTGTTTTTATCCTAATTATTTTTTAATTTCATTTGAGTCTCCAAGAAAATTTATGTGTGGAATATGTCTCATAAATAAGAAAGCAAGAGCAAGAATGAGAAAACATACAAAAGAGGTATATCTTAGTACTATGAAGTTGATGAGTGAAATCTATATTAAATAACATGGTGAATGTTCTCATGGAGTTTCTAGTAATACGTAAAAAACCATCACAGAAAATAGAAATATGTACTACACATAGTATTTCACTGTTCTTGATAGTTGCCATTGAGTTGATTCCAATTCATAGTGACCCTATGCACAACGAAATGAAACACTGCTTGGATCTGTACCATCCTCAAAATTGTTGCTATGTCTGAACCCATTGTTGCAGCCGGTGTGTCAATCCACCTCATTGAGGATCTTCCTCTTTTTCACTGACTCTCTAATTTACCAAGAATTTATGTCCTTCTGCAGGAATTAGTAACCCCTGACAAACATGTCCTTCGAAGGAGTGGCTGGTGGGTTTGAACCACTAGCCTTCTGGTTAGCAGTCAAATGCCTTAAGCAATGTTGTTGTTGTTGTTATGTGCTATCGAGTCGGCCCCAACTCATAGCGACCCCTCCTTGGATTGCCAAGGCAGTATCACTATGGAAGTAGATTGCCCAACCTTCCTTCTGAGTGTTCAATAATTTCCACATTCAGTTAGATCATCTTTATTTGGGGTAGGCATGAATATGGATCTTTTCTATTAAGGTGGCTAGGTAGCTATCTTCTAAATGTCTTCATATAGATGAGAGCGTACTTCCAGTGTTGTAGCTGTTTATTGAAATGTTTCAATTGGTATTCTGTCAATTCCTGGACCATTGTTTTTCATCAACACCTTTAGTGCAATTTAGACTTCTTCCTTAAGTACCATCAACTCTTGATCATATTCTAACTCCTGAAATGGTTGACCAATGACCACTTTTTTTGGTACCAAACCAAAAACCAAACCCACTGCCATCAAGTCAATCCCAAATCCTAGCACCCCTATGTTGTTGTTGTTATGTGCCGTCGAGTCGGACTTGACTCATATTGGGTTTCTGAGGTGGTATCACTACAGAAGTAGATTGCCCAATCTTCCTTCTTAGGAGTGGCTGCTGGGTTTGAACAACTAGCCTTCTGGTTAGCAGTCAAGTGCCTTAGGCACTATGCTACCAGAGTTCAAATAAACTGCCTCATAGGGTTCCCAAGGTTGTAAATCTTTAATGAAGCCGGCTGCTTCACATTTCTCCTGCTGAAGGGCTAATGAGTTTGAACTGATGACTTTCTGGTTAGCATCTGAGTGTTTTAACCACTGTTCCACCAGAGATTTTTTTTTTTTTTTTTGGTATAGTTACTGTGTATTCCTTCCATCTTCTTTTGATGCTTCCTGTGTCATTCAATTTTTTGCCCGTTGAAACTTTCAATATTGCTACTTAAGGCTTGACATTTTTCTTCAATTCTTTCAGCTTGAGAAATGCTAAGAATGTTCTTCCCCACCCCCACCCCCACCCCTTTTTTTTCACTACTGGTCTTTGCACAATTCATTATAATACTATACTTTTTCTTCTTGAGCCACCCTTTGAAGTGTTTTGTTCAATTCTTCTACTTCATCATTTCTTTTGTTTGCTTTAGCTACTCTATATTCAAGAGCAAGTTTCAGAGTCACTTGTAACATCAATGTTGGTCTTTTCAGTCTTTTTTCTCTTTTCATCATGTATGATATCCTTGATGTCAGCCCAAAACTCTTCTGGTCTTCTGTCATTAGTGTTCAGTGCATCAAACCTATTATTGAGATGGTCTCTAAACTCAGGGAGGATATACGCAACATCTTACTTTGGCCCTAGTGGACTTCTTTTAATTTTCTTCAGCTTCAATTAGAACTTGTATATGAGTGATTGATCGTCTATCCTTGGCCTTTTTCTGACTGATAATATTGACCTTCTCCATTGCCTCTTTCCACAGATATAGTCAATTGGTTTCTGTGTATTCCATTGATTGAGAACTATGTGTATAGTCATGGTTTAGGTTATTGAAAAATAGTATTTCCAATGAATATGTTGCTGATCTCATAAAATTCTATCATGTGGTCTCCAGCATCATTTCTATCACTAATGCCATATTTTCAAATTACTGATCCTTCTTTGTTTGCATTCAATCACCAGTAGTTCTCAATGCATTATATAACTTAATATCTTTCATCTCAATTGTTTGATGCTGTAAACAAAAAAATGTGATTAATAAGGCATTATTATAAAAAAAAAGTAAATAAAACTTTCATGTCATAATATATCAATTTGTTACACTCACATCAATATGCAAAAATACCATTTTCTTTAAACAAGTCATGAAAACAGTGGACACTGCTGACTCCTGTCCTCTCCTTTAGACTGTTATCCATAAAGTTTTCACTGGACTGTTTTCTCAGAAGTAGATGGCCAGTTCCTTATTCCCAGTCTGTCTTATTCTGGAAGCTCTGCTGATACCTGTTCACAATGGATGACCCTGATGATATTTTAAATATGGCGGCATAGCTTCCAGCATTACAGCCACATGCAAGCCACCATAGTATGATAAACTGACAGATGAGAGGTGAAAGTATTGAAGATGTCAAGGATTTCATTTTACTTTGACCTACAATTAATGTCCATAAAACAGTAGTTAAGAAATCAAATGACATATTGCATTTTGCAAATCTGCTGCAAAAGACCTCTTTAAAGTGTTTAAAAGCAAAGACATCACCTTAAGGACTAAAACATGGCTGACCCAAGCCATGGTATTTTCAATTGCCTCATACTAATGCAAAAGTTGGACAATAAGTAAGGAAGACTAAAGAAAATTGATGCTTTTAATTATGGTGTTCTCAAAGAATATTGACTCCATGGTACACACACATGGACTTCGAGAAGAAAGAACAAATCTGTCTTGGGGGAAGTACAGTCATAATGCTCCTCAGTGAGGATGGTGAAACTTCATTTCATATATTTTGGGCATGTTACCAGGAGGGACAAATTGCTAAGGAAGGGCATCAAGCTTGGTAAATTAGAGGGTCAGTGAATAAGAAAGACCATCAATGAAGTGGACTGACATAGCAGCTGCAACGGTGGGCTCAGACATAGCAAGAATTTTGAGGATAATACCAAACCAGGCAGTGTTTTGTTCTGTTGTACATAGGGTCGCTATGAGTCAGAATAGACTTGATGGAACCTAACAACAACAAAAGCTTTCCCTGAGATTCACGTCATACCCCTCTCTTAATGATGATTAATGATTATTTTAAGGGCATACCAAAATGTTCTTAATCAATATATGTTTCCCAATTCTCTCTTGAAGAATATTTAATAGCATATTGAGTTCTTACTTACGGAGATTTATCAATGTATTTTTCACTTCATCCTGATGCTGTTTGGATTTCTTGGTCCAAACCAGCTTCTGTAGTTTGTTGAATGTCCCCATTGATCTCATTGAGTCATCATTTGATTTTATAGCCTAGCACAAAGACACCTTTAGGTAAAGACAATTTATTATTCACAAAAGATTAAACAAAGTATATTGAGATTATAAATGTGGGTATATTAATAATTTGACCTAAAACCTAAAGTCAGATACAATTTAAGCAGTAGTTTAGTAGTACATCACATTTTGGGTTAAAAATGTTACAACTGGTCAGTCATATGCTATTACATGCACAATCCTGCAATAACAGTAATAACAGTAATTTGTGAGTGGATACATAGACACTGAAGGTAAACAGGTGTAGGAAGGGTAATGTGACTGTATCCAAATACAGGTTTAAGAGAAGCTATCTCTACATATGTATTTACATCTGCTGCAAATATATCCAATACAATAATAGAGCATACAGGGGGCAAAGCTATGAGAACTTCTTAGCCATAACCAAACACCTTGAGGAAATGAGTCACTGGACCTGTGGCTCAGTACCATGTCTCAGGGTACATCTAGGTCAATTGGCACAACACAGTCTATAGAGATAATGTTCTATAACTTGCTTTGGTGAAGAGTGATGGGGTCTTAAAAGCTTGTGAGCAGCCACTGTCTTAAAAGCTTGTAAGTAGCCACCTAAGGTACAACTATTGATCTCTCTCTATCTGGAGCAAAGAAGAGTGAAGAAAATCAAAGATACATGGAAACAGTCCAATAGACTCATGAAACAAGGAAACCTCAGCTTCTATGACTGAGACCAGAAGGAACAGATGATGCCTAACTAGCACTACTGACTGCTCCGAAAGAGATCACATTAGAAGGTCTTGGATAGAATGGGAGAAAAATGTGGAACAAAACTCAAAATGATTTTTAAAAACAAACAAACAAACAAAAATCTAGGCTTACTAGTTGGATAGAGACTAGTGGAATCCTTGAGACTATGACCCTTACTCAAACTTTAAGCCTGAAACTGAACTCACCAAACAAACAGGGTGAAAAAAAAAATTCACTGCCATCAAGTTGATTCTGACCAATGGAGACCCCATTGAGTTTCCAAAGCTGTAAATCTTTACAGAGAGAGTAGTTTGCCCCATCTTCCTTCTGTAGAGTGGCTGGTGAGTTTCAAGTGCTGACCTGGTTAGTAATCAAATGCTTTATCCACTACACCACCAGGGCTCCTTCACTGTTTGTAGTAAACAGGCCTATAAGGTGAACAATAACACTAGGGAGGTACACAATCCTTAGAATAATCAATCCTAAGAATAAAAAGGGAAACATTTGCCCAGATATAAAGGTCAGAAGGTAGGAAGGGGTAGAAAAGAAAGACAAATGGAAATGGGAAACACAGAGAAGTGAGATGAGTGCTGTTAAATTGGGAGAATTTACTCAGTGTCATGAAACAAAATGTGTATGAACTGGTGAATGAAAAACTGATTTGCTCTGTCAACTTTCACCCAAATCATCATAAAAAGCTTTAACAAAAATAAAGCAGGGTAGCTTTAACAAAAATAAAGCAGGGTAGCTTTCACTAATTTTTTTTTTTTTTTTTTTTAAATCTTAAAAATGCAACAAAATGAATTGTATTTAGACTCATAAAAAGGATTCACTCCTGCCCAATGTGAAATAGCAGAAAGGAACAAGCTTTTGCAGTGAAACATGGGATGGACAAGAATTTCAAAGTTGGTACCAGCAAGTCTCAAAATAGATGGTGTGCAAATGGTGGTCTGACTACTAACCTCAAAAAAATGAGAAATTCAGATTTTCTTCACTTCTTTTTGGAAGTTTCTATTAAAACAGCATTTTACCTAAAGCATTGTTTTCAGACAATATCCTTTTGTTTAAATAACCTCCTGCTTTCTAGAAAATACACACTGAAATACTTCTTCAGCATACCATACTATTGTTTCAGAATGTCATTGTCATTGGTTTATCACAGAAAAAATATTGATTAAATAATTAACACTACTGCAAAAAGGGCAAGAAGGCCACATGTTCTGACCTCCTAGAACCCCACAAGAGGAAGGCAGAATCACCATCAATAGCCCAAGGCCTATTACTACAAGGCCAGACATGCTGCCTCCCTCCAGCCCTTTTTCTTACCGTTTCCCCCCCCATCACCCCCCCCCCCCTCTCTCCTGGGTTTCGATAATTCGCTGCAGTGGCCACACAGAACTCACAGATTATGGGGTTTATTAGGGAAGCACCAGGCTACAATTCAAGTTCAGGAAAAACACTCAGTCTCTCTCCCATCCCACCGTCTCTCAGCCAAGTCTCTCA